CCCGCCTCCCCCACTCCGCAGCCCGCACACACACACCCTAGTGACTTCCCCGGAGTCACTTCGGGGCGGGCCTGAGGTTGGTCTGGCCGGACAGGACTGGCCTGGGTCTCTGGCGGGAAGGGCGGGCCATTCCCTGCCTCAGGCTCTGACCCAGTCCCCCTGCCCTGGCGGCGGTCACAGAAGTGCAGAAACTGTCCAGCCTGGTGCTGCCTGCGGAGGTGATCATCGCGCAGAGCTCCATCCCGGGCGAGGGCCTCGGCATCTTCTCCAAGACGTGGATCAAGGCGGGCACCGAGATGGGTCCCTTCACTGGCCGTGTCATCGCCCCGGAGCACGTGGACATCTGCAAGAACAACAACCTCATGTGGGAGGTAGGTGAGGGCCGGGGGAGAGGGGTGCCAGCGGGAGGGCCCCAGGCAGCCGCCACTCCGTCCCTGTCGCTCCTGCTGGGAGCTCGGGGGGCGCTTGGGCCCCCCGAGCTCCCTGACGTGGGATCCGGGATCCTACCGCCCTATGCCTGGCGATGCCTCCCCAAACCAGGCTGCTAAGGCCATTGTTCAGAAAATCTGACCCTCTTTCTTCCGGCCAACCCTAGGGACTGTTGTTGGCCCTACTTCAGAGGAGGGCACTGAGGCCTCCGGAAGCCATGTAGCTTGCCCAGGGTTATGCCCAAAGCGCTGAAGCCAACCCTGGGGACAACCTCCCAGCTACCTGCATTCTTCTCCTTGGGAGGAAGTTGCAAGGAAAGCCCTTTTGAACCACCCTGGCCTGGGGGTAAGGGTGGCCAGTGTGGGGAATGGAAGGGGCCGGTGCTTCCTAGGAATGAGCTTCTCAACCCAGGCAGAACAGTGACAACTGGAAATGATGGGGGATGAATTGGCGTTGAGATAACTTTCTGAGTCAGCGGCCCGCATTCCACCAAATGATCTCATCAGCCCTGTGAATTATTATTCCCATTCTACAGAAGGAAACTGAAGCTCAGAGAGGCTTCCACCCCAGGCCTTCTGACCCTGCTCTCCTCTGACAGTGCCAGATGCCAGGGACGGCCACCCTTAGGACACCCTTAGGACAAAGCCACTCCCAAAGCTCTTCCTCCCCTGGGGCTCTTACCTTGCCGAGGCCAGGCTGGTGCACCCTTTCCCTAATCTCATTTCCCTTCCCCCCATGGGTCCCCACCACAGCCCCCACCTGACAGTCCCTGGAGGAGCCCAATGTGACAAATCTTGGCTCTGGTCACAGGCGCAGGAGGAAGGGAACAGGGGGATGGTCCAGATGCTTCTCCTGACCTCACCTCCTCCCTCCCTGGAGGCCTGGGCCAGTAGTTATCTTCTCCATTTGTTGCTAGGTTAGGAAGTTGGGGCCCAATCTGATCTCTGAGTACTCTTGATAGCTCCCACAAGGGGGCTTGGGCCAGGCCAGGGTGCCACAGTGAGCCAGCCTTCCCTCTCCAGGCTCCTGTGTCCCCCTCTGAGGTCCTGGTCCGTGCTCTCTGCTGCTTTGGGGAGCACCTCTGCATCCCCAGGGAGTTAGCTGGCTGTTACTTTGTCGAGTCAGTGATCCCTTGGAGACCCTTTTCTTCCAGAGTTGGGGAATACGTGGCCGCCGGAGCCTGTGGGGCCCTGGAGACTGACTCCCTGTCGGTCCCTTCTAGCTGCCTGGCCTCAGGCAAGTCACTGCACTGCTCCGAGCACCCCTTTTCTCAGCTGGAAAACTGAGATGAGTACAGCTGCTCGCCCTTCCTGGGGCTGTCGTGAGGATGGAGAGAGCGTAGGAGGACACACCGGCAGTGGCCCAGCCCGGTCACAGGGGGCACCTGCGGCACAGCCTGCCTCACTCAGCCCCTCGTTTACCTGCATGCAGGTGTTCAATGAGGACGGCACAGTGCGCTACTTCATCGATGCCAGCCAGGAGGACCACCGAAGCTGGATGACCTACATCAAGTGCGCACGTAATGAGCAGGAGCAGAACCTGGAGGTCGTCCAGATCGGCACCAGCATCTTCTACAAGGCCATCGAGGTGAGTGCCTGTTCTGTTCTGTACGAAGCCAGGGGGCAGCCAGGAGAAGGGGCGCAGGCAGCAGTGTCCGGGGACTGGGGGTGGGGGGGATGGAGGTGCATTGATGCCGGCCACGCTGGCCCTGCCCAGGCCCTAGGGCTGGGGCCCAGGCATCATGGTCTCTGGGAGCATGAACTTCGCGGCAGGTTTTCTGGTCTGTAGATCAGAAAGGACAGAACTTTTGACTTCAGGCCACTGGGGATTTCACGAGCACCTCAACCGTGAGGCTCCCGGATAGCTGCTTAGGGTGTCCCGGGGTTCAGAGACCAAGAGATACAGAGAGCAAGACGCAGGGGGAAGCATTTGAATGCAAGAGAGGGCATTGTGTCTGCAGCATTTTCGCTGTGTGTTTTTCCTTGTCCTGCATGCGTGGGACGCTGATGTGGGGATCATGACTCTAAGTCTTGGCTCTGACACATTGATCACTCACTGTGTAAGGCTTCTCTCCTAGACTCTGTGGATGTGTTATCCTTTATAATCCTTGTGCATTTAATCCACGAGGGAGGGTTCTGCGATTATCCAGTTTGCAGACAAGGAAGCTGGGGCTCACTTGGTGGCAGAGGGACTCGGGAGCTCTTACCAGGCGTTGGGGGGAATGTTAGCACTAATGCCCGTGCTGGGTCGAACTGCTTAGAAGCAAGGGAAAGGGAAAGATAGCAGCAGATAAATATCACATCCCATGGTTGGGAGTGGCTAAGCCCCGCCCAGGTCATGGGAAGGTTCAGGAGGATGGAAAAAGGAGGTGTTCCCGATAGGGAAACCTTGGACAGAGGCAGAAAAGCTCACGGTCTACAGAGAGGGGCTGAGGGCACAAAGCAAGCCAAGTGGTGGTAGCCATGGAGGGCCATGCTGTCGGGACCTCCTGGACAGTGTCTCTTGGCAGGAAATATGCTCAGCATCTGTCCCAGGAGTGAGACAAGCTCCCTCCTTCCCCATGGCAGATTGGTGGCCAGTGCTGTGTGGGGGTGGTGGGGATATCCCCCCCACACACTTGTCTGGACCTCCTGCTTCCACTCCCCTAGTGGAGAGAGGCAGTGTCCTCCCTCGGGGGTGGGGCTGGGTTTGGCTGAGTTTTGGAGAGGTCCAGAGGAGGTCTCCCAGGGTGGGAGAATGACTTCCCTATAGTCCATTTTATCCCTGGGACTCAGAGCCTCAAATCTTTCTAAGGCCCTAGGGACACTGGGGCCTAGCAGCTTCTGGAACTGGGGTCCAGTTGTCCCTCAATAACCAGGCTCCAGGAAATCTCCCAGGGATGACAGCAGAATGGTCTTTGCCTCGGTGTTGTTGTGGCCACGGAGTGGGTCCCAGCGGAGGGGTAGACTCTGGGAGGGCCAGGAAGTGGAGGGTAAAGAAAGGTGCCCAAGTTCTGGGCTGGTATTCAAGTGAGATGGAACAGCATGGGGCTGTGTGAAGGTAGGGCCGAAGGTGGCCCAGGCACCTAGGACAAAGGTCTAGGACAAAGGTGGCTCCTGTGACCATCTCGCTGGGCCACCACCCTGTGGGAATAAGGACTCCCCGCCAGACATCCCAGAATCGGCCTAAGGTGTGGCTGAACCTCACTTCTAGCAGAGCGCACGCTCCAGGGTCTTCTCCCCTCCTACCCTCCCAGCCTCACACACACATCCTCACATTCGTGCGCTGCTTCCTGGCCATCCCAATACAGATGAGCTAGGAGACACACAGTCTTTCCACTCCTCCCCTCTAACACGAATGCACACACATGTACATAAACACAGATGTACACGCATGCACACGAGAGACAGTGGGAGTGCTTGTATGATTCGGGCCAAAGAACTCCCGCTGGGGCTGACTCGGGGGCCTCAGATCATCTCCCTGTGCAGATCACATTGGCTAAAGGCTCAACGGAGTGAGGAAATATTAATAGAAATTTCTACAGAAATTCAGTCAGAGGACAGAGGGGCTGAAGAGGATCTCTAGGGAGGAATCTGAATTTAGAAGAGTAAAAAAAGGGCGCCTGGGTGGCTCAGTTGGTTGGGCGACTGCCTTCGGCTCAGGTCATGATCCTGGAGTCCCTGGATTGAGTCCCGCATCAGGCTCCCTGCTCGGCGGGGAGTCTGCTTCTCCCTCCGACCCTCCCCCCTCTCATGTGCTCTCTCTCATTCTATCTCTCTCAAATAAATAAATAAAGTCTTTAAAAAAAAAAAGAAGAGTAAAAAAAAAAGTCATCTACATTTTATCAGGATTTAAGTTGATAAAAGAGGATCAGGAAAAAGAAACCGATTCATATAGGATACTGTGAGCAAGATGCCATGGATTTGCAGTTAATGCTTGCCCAGAGGTAGCAAGCCTATGAAGAAGGGGCCTCTTGAATGAGGGACAAGGAAACAGAAAATATCACTTTATGGTCATTTTACTTTTCATCAGCAAAGCTGGACACTTTTCTCGTAGTGGCAGTTTTTCTCAGATCATTTTGTGGCTATGACAGATTCCACTTACTGGACCAGCAGTGTGTCTGGGCCAGTGTGACCACCCACCATGCGCTGGGCAGAGGCCAGGGCTCACTGGCCCTTCTAGGCTCCACCAGAAGAAATTGCTTCTCCCCCAGGCCACTCCCTGAAATCTCTGGAATACACGGGCTGTTTGTTCTGTGCGCGCGTGCGAGTTAGCCAAGGAGACGGGCCTTTGCGATGATCTGTTTTCTTAGTCTTTCTGTCACTTAGAACTGCCATTTATATTCCATATGAGTAACCCATTACTCACCCCAAAAATGGGAAGGCCCATCTTTATTCGATAAGCAGAATGCACTGTTGCTACTCTCAAATTTTCCACAAATACAAAATAATAGCCCTCCAAATGGAGATGGGGTTTCAAGGCCAGCCAGTTGGAGGAGAACCCCCAGGCGGGATTGGCATCTGGCTGGATCTACGGCAAGCTATTTCTGGGGCATTCTCCCCATCGATTCAACCACAGAAGAATTTACTATAACGGGAGGTGCCTAAAATAGCATTTCTAGAAAGCGCCCAGCACATAGCAAGTGACCATTCAGTGTTGAATGAATAAGTCTTTCTGCAGGTGATGGGGACTGGGTCGAAAGGGGAACACGTGGACCCCTGTTCTCCCAGAAAAACAAAACCAGCTACCCCAGGAAGCAAGACCTTTGATGCCAAAACTCAGTGCAAGGAAAGGATTTAGTAATAAGTTATGAAAGCTTTGGACTCTGGAGCTGGGAAGAAAATTCCCAGTCTTTCCCCTCCCTGTGTCTTGGCAGATTACCGTGCCCTGAAGTGTGGGCCTTTCCTTCCCGCTACTTTCCTTCTCCTTTCAAGCACTCGAACGTGTTATACGGCAGAGTCCCATGTCTGCTTTTCCTGGCACCGTTTTCCTTTTGACGTTGCTCAGGGGTGGATGCAGTTGGGGCACCTTATTTTTTTTTTTTTTTAAAGATTTTATTTATTTGACAGAGAGAGCACAAGCAGAGGGAGAGAGAGGGAGAAGCAGGTTTCCTGCTGAGCAAGGAGCCCGATGCGGGGCTCGATCCCAGGACTCTGGGATCATGACCTGAGCTGAAGGCAGATGCTTAACCGACTGAGCCACCCAGGCGTCCCCACCTTGATTATTAATACTAAGCATCATTAATAATGCTACCATCTGTAAAGCATTTATCATCTGTGGGCACGTGCTGAGGGTCTTAGCAAATTTTTAAGAATCGAGTCCTCTCCGCTCTGTGAGATACTATCACTACCCCCGTTTTAATGATGGCAAAACTGAGGTTCAAGGAGATCATAGGAAGTTGGTGAGCTGTGATTTGAATCCAGGCCTGTCTGACCCCAGAGCAGAGCCCTTGGTCACCACGCCGTGGGGCCTCCCCGGCCAATATGTATTTGCTGGAACTCTATTAATTGGTCTGTCAGGACATCTGTGGTACAATGGAAATTGATATTCGTCCAGATGACATGGAGATCCTTCTGGACTAAGGTTTCTGCACTGCCCGGGGTGGGGAGGGGGGCAAAGGGAGGTGTCAGAGCCTCCCGGGAGTGTGTTCAATAGTGTGACATATATTTATATAAAGAAAACAAACCAAAACCGGATCAGTTTCCATTTATAATAAAAATTCAGAGAGGGGGCAGGACAGAATGTCTGGGCTGGTAGGGATGGTTCCGAAGCACGAGCTGAGAGACTATGTAATTTGTCAAGGGAAGACTCAGGCCCTGATATTCTCCCAGAATCTCAGGGATGTGGATTTTATGGTACCGGGATCGGTTTCTTGGGGGAATTATTTGGTCCATTGTGTGTCCCGAATCAGTCCCCGCTGCCTAGAAAAGTGAACGAAGGACACCTTTGTGATCCTGGTTCTGCTGGCCCCAACGGAGAGTCCTGGCAGGGTCTTGCCAGAGTTGGCTGTAAAGAAACGTCAGTATTGAGGGACCGGGAAGCCTGGGAGGGGGACGGTGGTTGTTCTTTGCTCTTAGGCAGTCAGCTGCCGGGACCCTGGGAGCCTGTGGACAATAGTGCCAGGATCTCCGGGAAGAGGTTGCTGATCCTGAGGGTCTCCTGGTCTTGATCTCTGGGGTTATTGCATGAGGGGTACCAGCGAGCAAGCAGGGACCGGGCGTCCAGGTCAGGGGCTGCCGCTGGCTTCCCAGAGCTCTGAAGAGCCAACAGACTCCACTTCCAGCCTTCCCCAGTGCTGGTGGCTTCTCGATATCTGTGCCATTTTCAATTCCAGTAGATTCTTCTTAATAGATTTTTTTTTTTAAGTGGAGCTAATGCGGGGCTTGAACTCATCACCCTGAGATCAAGACCCGAGCCGAAATCTAGAGACGGATGCTTAACCGACTGAGCCAACCAGGTGCCCCTAGATTTTCTTTCTTTAATACAGAGATAGTATAAAAGTAATATGTGCTCATTATTTTTTAAAAAATCAGATATCTCATGTAGAAAAATAGAAGCCACTCTGCCCGTCATGCTGCTCCCCACGAACCTTAAATCAGCATTTTTTAATAGTCTCAAAATGACAAACCCTTCTGGGGAAAGAAGCACAGAAAACTGGCCACAGTGGCTGAGCATCCAGGGTGGGGGAGAGAGTCACTTTTCATGTCCTACCCCCTTTATGTGTTTACACGTGTTTGTCAATGTGTCTGCTTTGTTGTTTTAATTTCTGAAATTAACTAGTAAGATTAATTTTAGTACATGTAAAAATTATGTTAGTAAATAAATGATGTACTCTATGTTAAAAGTCAATGTCGAAGCTCTTATTTAGGAAATCATGTTCCAAACAACCATTTTGAACAATATTCAGAATTTGTGCAAGCCCAGAGTTCTTGGCTTCTCCTCATTCATCACCACTGTTGTTGTTGTATTTATTTTATATATATTTTTTAATTTTTAAAAAGATTTTATTTATTTATTTGAGAGAGAGAGAGAGCATGAGTCTGGGTGGGAAGGTGGGGAGGGACAGAGGGAGAGAGAGAAGCAGACTCCCCGCTGAGCAGAGAGCCCCACACAGGGCTTGATCCCAGGACCCCGAGATCGCGACCTGAGCCAAAGTCAGTCTGTTAAGCATCTGACTTTGGGTGCCAAAGTGCGTTGGGGAGCCACCCAGGCGTCCCAAATTTACATTTAGTAGCAATTGTTATTGTCAATTACAATGAGAAGACTGGTGTTGATTTGGATATTTGATTCCTCGGCTGAGAGTCTGGAGGTGGAGATGCAACTCAGGGCGACAGCTGATGCGGGCTTGCTGAGCTTCCCCTCCACATCGGTGCTCTCCCTGGGGGTGCCCCCCGCCCCAGCCAAGCCGGAGGCAGTGGCCCAGAGTGGGGCTCGCGTCCTTGGGGCACTGGGGCCCAGCCCGTGCTATTGTTAGTCACTGAAGGCAAAGCCGCCAGTCACCCTGGGTTTTTTTTTTTTATTCTTATGTTAATCCCCATACATTACATCATTAGTTTTAGATGTAGTGTTCCATGATTCATTGTTTGTGCATAACACC